GTCTGTTGTTCAAAACGATGGTGATATAGATGGAGATGTTAATAGTAGAATTCAAGTTGGTTGGTTAAAGTGGAGGAATGCTTCGGGTCTTTTGTGTGATAGAAATGTATCGCTTAGACTGAAAGAAAAATTTTACAAGACGGTGGTGAGACCTGCAATGCTTTACGGTGCTGAATGTTGACCTTTAAAAGAGAAGCATAATAATAAGTTAAGTGTTGCTGAGATGAGAATGATTAGGTGGATGGGTGGCTTTACACTTAAAGACAAAATGCGAAATGAATATTCGTGATAGGGTTGGTGTAACTCTTGTGACGGACAAAATTAGAGAAAGTCATCTTAGATGGAAGAAAGGCAAAGGTAGACCTAGGAAGACTTGGACTTATTGTATAAAAAATGATCTTAATTTATTAGAACTAAATGAAATATGACACTAAATAGGATGCAATGGAGAAAAAAGATTCATGTAGCCGTCCCCAAGTAGTGGGATTAAAGCTTTGTTGCTGTTGTTGTATGATTTTGTTATTGCTAATACTTTATTCAAGAAAAGAGATGAGCATATTATTACTTATAAGAATGGATCTAATAAAATACAAATTGATTATTTTCTTATGAGAATAAGAGATCGTCGAGAATGTAAAGATTATAACGTCATTCCAAGTGAAGATTTAAACACTCTATATTGATTATTAGTTTTAGGTTTTAAGATGAAGAGTTGTAAAATAAATAATACTAAGAATCATCGTCGTAGAATTAGATAGGAGTACCTAAAAGACAAATAAAGTTATTTTTATGAGTAAAATTCAAGATTTTAATATTTGAGATGTTCATGAAGAAAGAAATTCTATGTGGGATAAAGTAACATAAACTATTAAACAACTAGCAAAAGTTGTACTTGAAGAATCAAAAGAAAAAATTTCTATAAATAAAAATAGTTGGTGATGGAATAATAATGTGTAAGAAAAGATAAAATAGAAGATGATATGTTATAAAAATTGGTTTAAATGTAAAAACTTAGAGAATTGGGAAAATATCAAACGACCTATAAGGAGTCTAAGAGAACAATCTATGATGCTAAAAATTTTGCTTTTATTAATCTTTATAATAGATTAGATACTAAGGAGATTGAAAAATATATGTATAAACTAGTCAAACAAAGAGAAAATAAAAATAAAGGTTTAACTCAAGTAAATTATATTAAAGATGAAAATAAAAAATTGTATTTCTTAGAAAAAAAAATATATTCAAAATAGGTGGGTGAGTTAATACTAACTTTTTAATGAAGTTTCGGAAAATGCGATCGATCTTTGTGATTTTAATATTGTTAATACTAACAAAATGTTTCATTTTTACCATCACATTAGTAAAAAAGAAGTTGAGGAGACTTTAAATAAAACCAAGGGTGGAAAGTGTAGGACCTAATGATATCTCAAGTGAATTGTGGAAATATTCGAGAGAGTTAGGATTGTAGGAAGAGTATTTTGGTCCCCATTTTTAAGAATTAAAGGGATGTACAAGAGTATACCAATTATCGAAGTATTAAATTGATGTGTCATACTTTAAAATTATGGGAAAGGGTAATTGAACATAAACTAAGACATATTACAAAGATTTCTCATAACCAATTTGGATTTATGCTGGGCAGGTCTACCATAGAAGCTGTACATTTATTGAGAGGTTTGATGGAGAAATTCAGAGATAATAAGGAGGATCTACATATGATTTTTATTGAGTTAGAAAAGCTTACGATAAGGTTCCGAGAGATATCATTTGGAGAGTTCTTGAGAATAAAGGTGTCGATATGACTTATATTCAAGTCATTAAAGATATGTATACAAAAACTGTTATTTTCGTTCGAGCAGAAGGATTGACCAAATATTTTCCTATTTCTGTTGGTTTACATCAGGGATCGACTTTAAGCCCATATCTTTTTGCTTTAGTTATGGATGATCTTACTGGACAATTACAGGAGGACGTACCTCGAGAATAAAGGTGTCGATATGACTTATATTCAAATCATTAAAGATATGTATACAAAAATTGTTATTTTCGTTCGAGCAGAAGGATTGACCAAATATTTTCCTATTTCTGTTGGTTTACATCAGGGATCGACTTTAAGCCCATATCTTTTTGCTTTAGTTATGGATGATCTTACTGCACAATTACAGGAGGACGTACCTCAGTGTATGATTTTTGCTGATGATATCCTTCTCGTGGATAAGATGAGAGAAAAACCTCAGGAAAAACTTGAATTATGGAGGTCTACCTTGGAGTCTAAAGACCTTTGTTAGAGTAGAACTAAAACTGAATACATGGAATGTAATTTGAGTAGTAGTAGCTCTAGTGACATAATGTAACTATGTGGTCATCAAATTACAAGTTATTAAAATTTATTAAAATGTGTGAACGCTTTAGATATCTCGGATCTATTGTTCAAAGTGATGGTGATATTGATGGGGATGTTATTAGTAGAATTTAAGTTGGTTAGTTGAAGTGGAGGATGCTTTAGGCCTATTGTGTGATAGAAAAGTACCGCTTCGACTGAAAGGAAAATTTTATAAGATGGTGGTGAGACTTGGAATGCTCTATGTTGCTGAATGTTGGCCTTTAAAAGAGAAACATAAAACTAAGTTAGGTGTTGCCGAGATGAGAATCATTTGGTGTATGAGTGGCTTTACACATAGAGACAAAATGTGAAGTGAATATATTTGTGATAGGGTTGGTGTAGCTCCAGTGACGAACAAAATTAGAGAGAGTCGTCTTAGGTGGTTTGGTCACATTAATCGTCGACCATCTGATGATCCGATTAGAAGAGTAGATGTTTTAAATTCGACTTATGTTAAGAAAGCTGAGGTAGACCTACGATGACTTGGGCATATTTATAAAAAAAAATCTATATTTATTAGAATTAAATGAAAATATGACAATAAATAGGGCGTAATGGAGAAAAAGGATTCATGTAGCCGACCTCACTTAGTGGGATAAAGGTTTTATTGTTGTTGTTGTTGTTGCTGCTGCTGTTGTGACGTACTGACTTCTTAATTAGATCAATCTGCTGCCTTCGAAAAGGTGTGATTTCTTTGTCATATGAGGCAGTACTTGTAATCCCAGAATTGAACTTTTTGCTTTTGAAATACAATATGTATTCTACTACAAGCCTAATTCTCTTACCCTGATTTTAGGCAATCTGGCTTTCTAATTATCTTTCTTGTGAATTTGTTATTTGAAACAATAAAAAAATATTTGGGACTGAAGTCCATAGACTATGAATATTGCACAACTAAATTTACAAAGGTATAGCACACTATGTTTGCTTTTAACTGCCTTAACATAAAGGTTTTAGTTGCTACGAAATAGAAGCATCATCTCATGTATTCAATGATTAGTAATCACATTAATCTCATACCAGACTCCATAATCATTTCATTTCTTTTACCAGAAGTAACGAGGCCAATTAATTTAAGAAAAGTCACCTTTGATAATGTGGCTGCAATGGGTAAATTTAATGACCAACTTATTCTGTGCTTTGTGCAGTCTTTTCATTGCAGGCATGGGAAGGCTTATCTATTCAGCAAGGTGTAAGTACCCATTTTTATTTTTATTTTATTTTTCTGGTTCCATTTCAAGGACAACAGCTGACTTGAAAACTTACTCTTAATATATTTCTTTTCTTTCACAAGGAATAAAATTAAACGGTATCTAATTTATAACAGCTCACTTTTATGTATCTTGTTTCTATGTATTCACATGACTCATTTAATTTCATAAAGAAGAGCATTGACTGGATTGACCAAGCTATTAAGATGACATATTGTGAGTATGCAGCAATTCACAAGAAATTTGTGAAAAGAGAAAAGTATTGAGTTTTTTTGTAGAACTTTGTAATGACTTCAATTAAGTTTGAGTCGAAATCTAAATTAGAGAAAATCTCCATTCTATATGAGGTTTTCTTACTTGTACGAGTTGAATTAGGAATAAAAATGATGTTTAATAATTTGATCTCCAAAACATTTTCCATGATGACCATTGAATTCTAAAGTAATAAATTTGTTGCTACAAATTCTTCTCCCATTGAAAGGACAAAAGCCTCATTCTAAAGACAATCTCTAGTGCAACCATTGTAAGAAGAAAGGGCTCATAAAAAACAGATGTTGAAAACTTGTAAAAGTCCCAATGTTGTGATGAAAACAATCAAGGAAAAAAAATATATCTAAAAAGCCATATAGGTCATACTCTCTTGCACAAAATTGTATAACTTTCAACTTTCATATTCTTAGTGCCATAAAAAATCCTTCTCAAACTTGGAATTTAAACTCAGATGCCACTAATCATATGACAAACCTTGCCAATATCTTTCACAATTACAAATTCTACCTTAATAATTGGAAAATAAAAGTTACAGTTCTCTAATAGTTGTTGTAACAAATCACAATTTATTCACTTTTACCCTCAATAATATATTACATATTTTTACTTTACAATTAACTTTTTGTCAATCCATAAAATTATCTATACACCACTGGGGTAGACTCGTTTAAAAGGATGAAAATGCGGACTAGCTCGTTAAGTGTAGCTTAACACAAGCTCATCGAATCAGACCCAATACGAACTGTCTCTGAAGATTTGCATATCGTCCTCCCTCGAAGAATGAATGAGTGAGAGTTTTACATTGAGATTCCAGGTTAAATTTTAGAAGACGGATTAGATCCCATAGATTTTGTCCTCATTTTGTGAGTTCCTTTTTTTATAGAGGTTGAAGTTTCTCATAGCTGCAAGCTCATATGGCTAATTACCCCTCCCAATAATGGGAGAACACTTTAGATTTAGACTAATTATTAGGTGCTAAATATTTAGATTCAACTTATAGTAGCAATAAATTTAAATTTTATGTTATAAAATTTATCATTATGAGCTTAGAGTAGATGGTAGGGGGAATGATGATGTGCTTGATCAAAATTTTATGGTTTCGTCATCTTATCATAGTCCATAGTCCACTAAGTCCAAGAAAGTAGTCGACCCAATTAAACAAAAAGATTTTTATCAGTAGCTATGAGTTGTTTCATCAAAGGAAACTGCAGACTTAGGGTGAATATTTATCTAAAAGGATAAATTTAAGTCGAATCTGGCTAACTTTGATCTTTATGCCATATCGGGTATATCTTATGATTTACAACTCAAAGTGCAACAAAATTATAGGGAACATATGAGTGCAGTTGTGACTATAATATAGTAGAGCCTACTGGTCAAACTACTCAACCAAAGGGCTTTGGTTGTAACCTCTTTATTTGTGGTATTTGCTAACCAAACAACGTAGATAAAAGAGTCAAACCTCTTTCTTAGTTGCATGAAATTATTTTGAGCTCGAATGCATTATCATACTTGACATGATATTTGGTATTTGTGAGCTTAGGTTAATCATAAAATTATCATTTTTGATAAATTTATGTGGAGAGTGGATGAGATTTGATAATTTGCTTTAAATGATAAATTTCATCAAGTACTTTTTAGATTTTGATGATTTGAAATTATGATTTTTATGAATAAACCCTATGGTTAATATTTATTTTCAATGCAACCATCCTTAGGGTTATATATATTTAAAATACTCATGTTTATGATTTGATTTAAATTTATTGTGAGCTTGCATAAAAATATATCTTGTCAATTATTATTGTTCTCAAGAGTCTCAAATTGGCTAAGTACGGGTTCAATCTCATCAACTTTAGTCCATAAAAGGAGGAAGAGGCTTAGTCTCGCCAACTTTTATTCAAATTAAGAGGAGGGTCAGCTTGATTAAAATGAGTTTTATGATCTTGTCCTATAAGTTACACAGGCAACTCAAGAGTTTGCTTCATATAAAGACTTTGGATTTGATTTTCAAAAGTGATATTTTCATGAAGTTTAGGAATAGTTGTACACTTCTCGAGACAAATTTAATTTTATTTTGAGTTCGCACAACATTTTTAGACCAGTTATTAAGGCATTCAGTGCATTCATTGGAGCACATACAAATGAATTTCTTGGTGTGCATGCAATTTGATTCACTTGTGCGGAGTAGGGCTGTAAAAGAGTCGAGCTTGAGCGAGCTCAAGGTCGACTCGTGTTTGGCTCGTGTTTGAAATGGCTCGTGAACAGTGTGTTCGTGTTCGGCTCCAATAATATTTTTCTATTCGTGCTTGACTCGTGTTCAGCTTGAAATTGGAGAAAAAGATGACTCGGAAGAGGAAGAGAGCCCTAAGCTCTCGGAAGATGACTCAGAAGAGGAAGAGGAAGACAAACACAAACAACAAACCCTAAGCTCTCGCTGTCGAAAGCCTTTCTCCATTTTGAGAGTAGGAGGAGATGACTCAGAAGAGAAAGAGAGCCGAAACAGAATTTTCGAGAGCAGACGAACACAAACGACGAACCCTAAGCTCTCGCCTCTGAAAGTCTTTAGCGATTTTTAAAGGAGAAGTAGATGGCTTGGAAAAGGAAGAGAGTCGAAACAGATGTCTCAAGGGTGGAGGCTGGACGGGATTAGGGATTTAAGGTTTCTTTAGTAATAGAGTTATATATATATTATATTATAATATTTATATAACTTATATAATATAAGTAATACTAATATATTATTATTAATAATTTATTATATATTACAATTTATACGGTTTATTTTTTAAAAATATAATAATGTGTTTTAAAATTTGACTGATTATAGAATCTCCAATTTTTATGAATATTTATTATGTATATATATTTATTTTATTATTTATTTTCGAGCCGAACCCGAACACGAGTGAACAAACTTTTGTTCGTTACATTTCGAGCTTAAATATTTATTCGTGTTCGGCTCGTTCGTTAACGTTAGACTTAACGAACGAGCTGAACACGAGCCACTTAACAAGTTGTTTGCGAACGGCAAGCCAATTTGACAGCCCTAGTGTGGAGTACTTGCTCGAATCTTAAGGTACTAACACATTCTTCAATGTGTTTATATGAATTAAAAATAGCCTCGAGAAATACATTTATAATCAAGATACTAGCACAAGTATTTTAATCATTGGAATGCATATAAGAATTCAATTAAATAATTTTGTCTTCTATCTTTTTGTTGGTTTGTGTCCGCATGTAGGTTTGTGTTTTAGATCCGGTGTTGATCAAGGCATGCTCGCTAATGAGCTTTTAAGTTTCTACAAGTTTGTTTATTCAATTGTGCCCTGCTTGTACGCGGCTGTAATGTTCATCTTTGTCAAATTTTATGAGTTTAGGTTTTTACTCATGATTAAGGCATGTAGGATCTTATTCATGCTTGTTAGCAAGCTAGAAAGTTTTTTCGTAAATTTCATTCAAGTTTTGTTTATGTTCATAGTCGAATTGTTGAGTCCTCCGTTTTTCCCTAGATACATTTTCAATTCTTGTTCACCTTCATTTGTAATGTATTTTGAGTGTTTAAATCCATTAAATTTTGCATTTTTAGGTTCTTTCAGATCTCATTTAAATTCTTTTTAGGTCCCCTGTTATTCAAAAAAGTTCGGCGAATTTTTGACAACCTGTCGGCATCATCATCGTTCAGGAGGCTGCATTGGGAGTGATAGATGTTTTCAACATGTTCTAAAAAAAGGGCATGTTGGTGCTTGGCATCACCCGAAAGAAGTGGGGTTTCACCCCACTATTCTTAAAAAAACATTTGTAGAGCTTTGTGGATCTGCATAAAAAGAATAACACATATTGCCCTCTCGCCGTATGGACACTATGATCATGGGTCTTTAATCCACCACACTTAAAAACAACATGCATTGGTCTTCAAGCACCTTCATAAGAACATTTACACAAAAGATTTCTCCATTGTGTAAAATTGATATCAACATGTATTTATACTTTGTATTAGGGTAACATCTACCTTTTACATTATACCTTATGCACAATGAGGCTATGCTGGCAATAGGGCAATGAATTTGACATGAATTATGAGGCTCACAAAATGAGGGGGGGGGATGGCTCTCTCTCTACCTGTCTTTCTAGAGAGAGAATGTTAAGGTGAGGAGGTTGCTGGTGGTGTAAAGTAGGCAAGTCTAACAAATAGAGGGCTATTGCTTGTGTAGAGAGGAAGATTGTGGTGGAGTGGTTGAGCTTTAATGGGCTGAGTTTGGGCTCTGCTATGGGGGATGAGAGGAGTGATTTTCTCTATTTAGATAAAAGAAGGAAGATGGGTAGATTGAGTAGGAGACAGGTGGATTTGGGGAGCTTGCGGTCAAGTAGGTTGGAGTGGTTTGGAGTGGCGCTCAAACAGGGGAGAGAAGGGATGCCAAATAAGGGTTTCAAACAGGGGAGAGAAGGGATGCCAAATAAGGGAGACAAGGGTGCAAATTGCTGGATGGTAAGGGCTTAAGTTGGGAGTAGCAAGCCTCTGTGAGGGAGTGGTTCTTGCATTGGTTTTGACATTGGTCGCAATTGAAACCGGTGCCAGGGTTAGGGAATTGTAATAACTGTTAAAAAAAGAAAAATTGAACTAATAAGGTAACCTTCTCTACAGATATACTTAGGAGACAAGCATCCACTAGAATCACGTGAAAACTGAAAGTCAGAGAGTGAGGAAAGA